CCATCCCTCCCAAGCCTGCCCACCGCCTGCCCCCACAGACCTGCCTCAGCCTTTTTCTGGCTTCTCAGCCTCCAGTCTGTCCACAGCCCCAGAGGCTCCCCAGAGCTGGCCCTGCTCCTCACCTGCTCATAGACCTCCCATGGCTCCCAGGTGCCCCAGGACAAGTACCAACCCCTCAACCTGGGATACAGAGCCCATAGGGTCTGCCTATAAGAACTGGCAGCTATAAAATGTGTTACACAAACTGGGACACTTGGGAGAAGGGGATACATTGGTAAGATGCATGGCCTCCCAGCCCCACACCACTCTCCCCATGACAACTGTGCCCCCTGTCTGCCTGCCTCCCCACTCCACACACGTGTTCTTCCTCCTGGGAACCACCCCCAGTCGTCCTTCCTGACCTCCAAAGCCTCACTGGCACAGCCAGTGCCCGGGGCCCAGGGGCACACCTGTTTGCGGGTGGTGATGACCTGCCGGATAGCGTTGACGAAGCCACTCTGGTCGTAGGGGATGAGGCCCATGAAGATCTTCTTCTTGGACGAGTACAGGAGCATGAGCACGCGCACCTCACAGGGGGAGATGTGGGGGAAGAGCATGCAGCCCGCCTGGGGGGAGGCAGGGAGGTCAGGGACCCCAGAGCACAGCCGAGGGGGCCAAAAGCCCTTCCCTGGTCACGCGAGCCTGCCTGTCATCGTGGGACAGAAATCCTCAAAGTCCACCCTATGGTCCCAAAGCGAGAAGTGTGAACCTGCACGCACCTCAGCTCCCGTGAACCTGAATCTGAGGTCAGGGCTGGGGCCTGGGACCCACACGTGGGTGTGTGGATCCAGAGGGCTCTGTCTCCCACCCCTATGCAAGCGCCCCCTGCAGAGCTGCCAAGGCAGCTGCCAGGAGGCCCGGCCCAGCTCTGCCTCCTCCTAGCTGAGAGCTAAGGTAAGTTATGTTTCTAGACATGTTTCCCCACCTGAAAAACGAGATGCCAATGATGTACACACTAAATGCCACATAAATGCTACTCGCACAAGATGCTAGTGCATCGTTGGAGGGACGTGGGAGAACATAAACCTGACAGATGTCCCCATCTAGGGTGTTGGACAAAGGGGCTGGCACTTTGGAGAACACCTTCCAGAACACTGCCCATGCTACTGCCTGACCTCCCTGGTCCCTGGCTCAAGCCCAGGGTCCCTAACCTGCCCCTGGCCTTCCGGACCCATGTGCACTGGCCTTCTCAGACCTATAAGAGTGGGCCACAGAGGGTGTCTTCCCTACAGGCTGGGGGCAAGGGAGAAAGCAAGCCCTTAGCAAAGAGTGCTGAGCAAAGGGGTGATTGGTCAGACAAGAGACTGCATACCAGTCACAGCCCCTGGTCTGCCCAGGTGCTGAGGGAAAGGGGATCCACCTGGACATCAGGGCGATGGCCCATTCCAAAGAGGAAGAGGGACTGACGGGGACCCCAGAGCCCAGTCCTCCGGACTTCCTGGGTTGAGGACTTGCTCCCACAGCATGTCCACACCTCCCTAGCACCTGCCTCCTTCCACAACCAAATTCCTGGGGGAGGGCGCTGCTGAAACCCAGGCCAAGACCTTGGGCTATAGGGGCCAGGTCAAGTTTCACTTCCTGACATCCTGTGTCCTGATCCCAAACAGACAATCCCAGTAGCTCGTGTTTACTGAGCACTCCTTATGTACTCTAATCACTTGACACAGACTCCCTCCTCCCACTGGAATCGTTCTGTTACCCCACTTGTCAGATGAGAAAGCTGAGCCCCAGCAAAGACCAGTCCCTCCTCCTGACTAGCTCTTTCCCCTGACCACCCACTTACTAGGTCCCTGCCACCTGCTGGATCCCAGGAGGACTAGGTTGGTCCCTCCACTCACTCACATCCCCGGTAGCCAGCTCTTGGCTTGACTAGACCTGGGAGCCTGAGGACCTAGGAGTCTGAGGCAGGTGGAGCCTTCACTCCACTCCACTGAGAATTTCTGAGACCTGAATACAGATAGGCCTGAGACCCCACAGGAGAGCACAACTCCCCCAGCCCCTAGGAGAGCTCACCTGGAGCCCCGGCCTTGAATTGTCCCAGCAGAGCTGTCATCTGCTGCACTGTCACCAAAGTGCCTGGAGGGGCCCCTG